TGTCGGGAAGGTGAGCATCATAGAATGCCAATTTAATAGAAGAAAGTATTCTTGTATTGAGAGAGTACTTCTTAAAGGTCTTACTGGTGTTCCTTATAAACATCAAAGGTCTGCTACATAAAATTGTTCAAAAATTTTTGTTATTTAAACCATAACCCTTTGTCAACTGAGTTATGATCAATTAATGTGGCCCTTCTAGCCATGGTTCTTTATATATTATGGTTCTGGGTTTTATATACATAGCTATGGTCCCATTTTGCCTGGCAATCTCTACCATGCTAATAGACAAGTGGGGTGGGAGTGAGACCTTACCTTGGTGGAGGGTGTAGTTTGAGCCAAATCCTTTGTTTTCTTGAGGACAACTTTAAGATCCCACTTTAGTCCTGGGTGTGAACCATGCCATACTCTACTTTCTTGATGACATCCTTAAGACCCCACCACCTTAACAGAAAGTGTGAACCAGGTCACACCTTTTATTTGCTTTAGATGTACAATAGTGTCACCATACAGTTTTTCACACACTGCCTCACCTAAAAGCCAGACTTCTACTTTCCTAACCGCACTTTGATAGAAGGAAGAACTGCTGTGGCTTTTAGGTGTTTTTGGCTTCTCTGGCTCTGGACCCTGCATTGGTCGCCTCTGCTTGACCCTTGAATTTTGAACTGAATAGCACCCACCACTACGAGACATTTCTTCAAAGTTTCATGAGTTTCTGTGGGAGGTTCACTGAATCCCAGAATATACTCAAAGGAGAGTGGAGAGGAAAATGGAGCAGAGTAGCATCTTGGAAGAGTTAGACATCTGGGACATCTTCAATCTCCAACTCTTTAGAACTATTCTGGTATTCATTCTTACAAAAGAAATTGCCACAATACATACAAAACATTTCCAGAAGTCCTAAATTTTCTCTCAGATCACATTATTTATAATTCAAAAAGTACAAATAACCTAAACATACAATCATAGAAGTAAATGATGAAGTAACTGATGACACACACAAATGGTGAATTATCTGAAATCAGTTTTCTGATGAACAGTTAACGGTCTGAGAAAATACATTATACTGTTAAGTGGGATGAAATACCAGTGATAAAATTATATTTATAATAGAGTCCCATTTTGTAAAAGTACATATATGTTTATATTCAAAGTAAATACACAAGCTTTATTGTAACAAAAAATGTACCAGTGAACTGTGCTGGATAGTAAGGCTCATTAAACCAAACAAACTCATGGCTATAGAGTTGATTCCAACACATAAAGACCCTATAGGGCAGAGCTGAACTAGCCCTGTGGGTTTTCAAGTCCGCAAATCTTTACAGGAGTATAAAACCTGTTTCCCCAGTGGAGCTGCTGGTAAGCTTGAACTACTGACCTTGTGGTTAGCAGCCCAATGCATAGCCCACAACAACTCAGGTGATTTTTATAAGTTTGGGTATGGGTTAAATAAGATAATTTATTAAAAGTCCCTGTCAGTAAGTACTCAGGAAGCATTCATTCCTATTACCTGTTCCCAGAATGCAAAATTAAGGTCTCTTGATATTGTGGGTGAGAGAAAGGCAGGGCTTTCTACTACCATAAAGATTTATAGTGTAAGAAACCCACAGGGGAAGTTCTAGCCTATCCTATGGGGTCACTATGAGTCACAATTGACTCAATGGCAGTGAGTTTGGTATACTGTGGGTAGGTGCCCATTTCCCAGGTCTGAAACTACACACAGCCAAACAATACAAAGCAAGGGTCATAGGCAATGGCCCTTAACAAGAACAATCCTTCCTTCAAAAAATGTATTAAGAATCTATTATATCATTGACATTGAACTAAGTTCTGAAGTTACCAACAATGAAAAGATGACATCTCTGCCATCAGAGACCTCTGGCTGTGATTCAATGAAACCATCATTACTTTAATAAGGGTAGATTCCAATGTATAATGGAATCCAAAGGAAGTAGGCCTTTTACGGAGAAGAGTATTCTGGGAGCTGCACAAGAGAATATGTTTATGATAACAGCATAGGAAAAGTTCAGTGGCATGAGAGTAGAAAATAGTTCAGTCTTGCTGGGACATAAAGAACAAGAGAGGAGGAATAGCAAGAAATGAGACAAATGGATCACAAAAGGTCTCATATGTCACACAAAGGGAACTGAACTTTATCCTGAAACCACTGAAAGTAGTAATTGAAGCCCAGGAGTGACTTTATGAGCACAAGCAAAAATACCAAGAATCCTGAAAGACATTTTTAAACCAAACTCACAGCAATCGAATCAGTTCCGACTCATAATGACCAGATGGTACAGGCTAGGCCCGCCCTTGGGGGTTTCCATAGCTGCTCATCTTCTTGGAAACAGAAAGCCTTATCTTTCTCACATGAAGCAGCTGATGGGTTCAAATTGTTGAGTATGTGGTTAGCAACCCAATCCAAAACCCAGTACACTATCAAAACCCCTTGGATGACATCTTAATCCTTACCTATTTCCAGAGAAAAGAAAATTTTCACCCTCTTGTCCTGCCTCCCCTTATATGAAATAACAAGAGACACTGAATGTAATTTTGCACCAGGACCACAGTACACACTGAATATAATCAATTAAATATTAATTTCACTCTCTTGTGGATAAACTGCAGGAAGTAGTGCCTTCTGTGAGAAGAATTTTGGCAGCACTACTATCTTCAGTTTTATCTGGGGCTTAGTAATAAGAATGACTCCTTTGGAAGAGACTAATGACATTGAAAATTCTATAATTTAACATGCAACAAACAGGAGGAGGGCACATGTACTGTTTTGTTGTACTACAGGTGTTAAAATCTCCCCCATAGCTGTCTTTCCATAGTAGAGATGTGAATCTCAATAGGACATTACAGCTTTATCTCATACACTAATCTCTCTGGAATCTTAGGTGACAGGTGTTTGTTTACGTGCATACATCGTTAATTAGGGGGAAATTCTTAAATTGTTTTACTTCTCCTGTTCTACTTATCTCTAATTCAATTTCAATGGAAGGCACTGCAGAAAAACTGTATAAATGAAATAGCGCATTTCTGTTTCATTTACTAAGTGCATGCAAAATGAGGAAGTATTTATTACATTTTACAAGTTAAGACAATGAGGCTCAGAGAGGCAAAGCAATATGTTCAAGGTCACACCGGTAGTAAGTTGCAAAGCCACAACTCTGACCCATGTGTATTGGATTCAAAATTCTCAAAAATGCAGTGCTCCCTTGAACTCATATATCTAAAAATGCAGTACTGGCTTCCCCAGTCAGCACCTAAGGCAGAACAAAATTGCCAGAACATAAAAACTTGTACAGTTTTTGTAATAGGAAAGTAAGGGGATTATAAACTTTTAAATTATAAGGAAGGGTGAAAGAAAAAATACTTGGGGGGAAAAGTGAGATGGAGAAGGCAAAGGCCGTGGTTTCCAAAGAAAGGAAGAACCTGGGTCTGTGAGATGAGTTAGAGTTCATTCTTGATGAGAGGAGGATAAAAAAGTTTCAAAGTGGGAACCCAAAATAAAGCAGAAAAAAAGAGAGCAGTGAGCAGCTGGCTACTCATCTCCTTACCTGCCATGAAACCAATCTTGGCACAAATCACACTCGATCATGAAGCGGGTCACATCATAAGGCAGCCGGCAGAGGCAATACACAGGTACAGAGGCCATCTTCGCCCGGCCTTGGAGTGTTCTGCGGTGGGCCAGGTTCGGAGTGTCAAAAGATGTGGACCGTGGCGACACGTACGTTGGCTGTGCACAAACAACACTTTTTATAGCGTGAAGCAGGTCCCCTGGGATACTAAGCCTCCGTTCACAAATGAGGAGTTAGCAATACCAGGATGCAACACAACCGAATGGGCCTTAGGGGGCAACATGAGTCCACTCAGCCTTCAGAATTTTTTTTTAACAAATAAAGGATGGCGTTCTGCTATTGAGGCTCCCCTCCCCGCCGCCGCCCCTTCTTTGGCCCCTAGAGTCAGAAATAAGTTCTTTCCGGGTTTCAGAGAAATATCTGAAGCCTATTCGGGAAGCGACTTTAATCCCTCACTGAATCTTTTCCTTGCTTGCAGTATCTTGCTTCCCAGGGCTCCCTTTATTATGACGAAAACCATAACCTTAGAGGGTACCAAAGTCTCCCTCGGGGCAAAGTAGGGGCAACTAGAGCGAAACCAGCGATCCCAGAAAGTCTGTAAGGGTTACTCGCAAACTACATATTCAGGGCCAAGGTAGACAAGAGCAAATGTCCAAGTCAAATCACAGTCTGGGGCCATGTTTGGAGAGTTTACATGATGTTTACCTTCACTCTCAAATTCACTCCTTCTACGACAAATCAGGGGTCTTGTCATTCCCCACAACTGATACATATCTCTATTTTAAAACTAAACCGATCTCCCTCTACTTCAAAGGTGTCAGGTTCTCGTCACCCTCTTCAAAACCCCTGGAACTGAGACTAGAATTTCCTTACACTCCTGAAAACGAAAAGATTCCGAAACCCCACCCCGCCCCCACCGCTTGGAAACTAGTAGGTACCTCCTTACAGTCTTCTCCAACTAAGGACCCCCCTGGTCCCCAAAGCTGACAAGAGATTCCCTCATAGATCTTTAAGCAGACAGGAATCTGCCAGCAGCGTCCAAAACTTACGAGAATATCGCTTCACGCCTCCTAAACTGTCAGGAACCTCCTCGCGCCCCAAACCTGACGACAATGTCTTCGGCTCCGAACCCTACAGGAACCTCCTCATCCCCACGGCTACGGGGACTCCTCGCGACGGCAGGACTCGCAGCTCCGGAGCGCCGGGCGCCCAGCTCAGCAGAGGCTCAGCCGGCAGTTCCGGCCCCGCCGGCGGCGCGCGCCGAATTCTGGGATTGTCAAAGGAAGCCTGCGAACCCGGCGGGCCTTCCCTGGCACCCCCCGCCGCGTCGCTGCTCCGGCGCCGCGGTGCTTCCAGGCAGCGCTCTCTACAGCATTCCCATCGGCCTGCTGGAGCGCCTGGACCGGCCTCGCCCGGCAGCCGCCTCGCCAGCGAACCGGCAGAGTTGTTGCTGGGCCAGCTGGAGACAGCCGCGAGCGAACCGACGAGGAATGAGGTGAATCGGCGGCCAGTTTCGAGAAAACGACCCGAAAAGTGGTCGGTCGTGAGGAGCCCAGTGCAGGTGGTGGTAGTCAATAAAGTTTATTCAAAACAATGAGGAAGTTGAGGCGGAAAGAGGAGGGGAACTGAGGGATAAACAGTTACCATATTGAGAGTGGCGTAGCTGCCGTGAACGGGGGCGGGGACGGGGGCGGGGGTGGCAGGGAACTCACCCGCCATCTTAGGAGGGCCGAGCACTCGAGGTGAGCACACGGCGTGGGCCAGGAAAGGAAGAGCGGCCTTCGCTTATCCTGGGGCGGAGCTCGGCTATCTTTGGACCAACTTGAAGCTTTAAGCCACCCAATCGAAGTTGAAAACCTTGATCCGACAAGCCGCCATCTTAGGCGAGGCCGTCTCTCGCCTCCATTTTGAGTGGGGCCAGAAATTTCCAGGCTTTCCCCTCCTCCGGGTTAGCATGGAGTTAAGCTCTCCCAGCTCCTCCTTCTTCCCAGCCTTTTCCTCCAATGAGAGTACGTAAACATGGTGACTCAAAAATGCGTAATTACTAAGTGGCAGAGGGCCGGGTTTCAGGCATGGTTGAGACTGAGAGCTGACCAGTTCTCATTCACCCAGCCCCTTCAGCCGACTCTCACTCGTTTTCTGTGTTATTTGTTACTTTGTGAGGGGGGTTCTGTTATTATCTCAGTTTGTCAAATATGGACACAGGTTAAGAGGAACCAACTGACTTGGTTTTCAGAACTAGGGAATTCTTGTGCCAGCTACTACCCCTATGTCTCAAGTTGTAGTTCTCTATAAAGCTGCTGTTCACTCTTCACATACCTTGGGACCCTCTCTATGATCCTACGGTTTCACTCCGATTCACTTCAAATACTGTTGAGATATTAACATGTACCTGTTCCAAGATTTTCTGACAATAGCTTGCAGGTTAATTGAGTTACATCCACATGCTTAAAAATGACAGTTGAAGAATGTAATCAAAATGAGTTCTGCCAAGGCAAACATTTATCCCCAATTTGCACTTTCCTATCATTTCGGAAAGAGCCCTGTTGCAGCAGTGGGTTAAACATTGGACTGCTAACAGAAGGAGTTGGTGGTTCGAAAATCGCATGTAACAGTTTTACTCTGCCCTATACGGGTCTCAAAAGGGCACAAAATGATCATAGAAGTTTATTAGGAAGTTTTAAGAAAATTGAAAACAGCATCCCACTGCCAGAACCACTGTCATCAAGTAAGTTCTATCTCATAGTGACCCATATAGAGTCTCAGAGGCTTTGTCAATCTTTACAGGAGCAGACAGCCTCATTTTTCTCCCTCAGAGTAGCTGAAGGACCTGTGGTTAACCTGACAATGCCACCAGGCTCCTTGGAACTGCATTGGTGAGGGAAAAAAAGCCAGTGAAGTACCAAGGAATGTTTCCCATCACAATGCACCTGTACAGCCTGGGAGGGTAGCAAGAGCTGTCCTATCAGAATTGTGTTGGGAAGCCTTACCACATCCACCCTACAACCTGATTTTTCCCCTTCAGACTTCTTTTTGTTCCCCAAAACTCAAAGGATATTTAAAAGAAACAAAATTTGAGTCTCTCAGGGATGCCAAAACTGCTGCTTTAAATAGTGTAAATTATAGGTTCCGGAACATACTTGGCCTACTGCCTTTTCTTCAGAAAGAGACAAAGTTACTTAGCCTTCTCTGGCAGTGAAAAACTTTTGTATTATAGCCCATAATCCAAAATAATGTATAGGTATCTGTTTTTGTAGCACCCACTCCCCCCGCAACTCATTCTAGCATACACACACACACACACACACACACACAGGGAGTGGTACCACCCACTTTGGAAAACACTGGTAAATCAAAGAGTTCAAAATTCTCTGGGAAGGTTTAAAGAAATGGAAATACCAGCATCTTCAGAAGTGCATAAAACTAAATGGAGGATATGTTGAGAAACAATAGCTTCACATTTTGCTATTTTAGTTTAATAAAGAATTTAGACTCACCCTGTTATCTCCAACATTACCTAATACAATGGAAATTGTGACCTAGGGAAAGTCTCAGTGGAAAGAGACAGCAGTTTTAACCAACTCTGGATTAAATATATTTTGTAAGCCTATGAGACCACATGGCAAGAGCCATATGGACCCTATAACTAGCTTTCTTAGCTTCACAAATAGGCAAGAGGGATGGAGGCTGTTTTACTAATCTGGAAAAAATATATATGAGGCCTTAACAAGAATAGCTATAGCATGGTGTTGAAAAGGATCAGATAAGTATAATAATTTGGAAGTTGAATAAGCAAAGTTTGGAGACTAATGATAGTGGGTAAATGAGGAAAATGAATATAAGTTAATGTCCAGGTTGGGTTTCAGGGTGGATGATATTGTCATTGTGCCAGAATACACAATAGCAAAAGCAGATTTGATCAGGAAGAAGACTATATTTCCTTTGGATGAGTTATACTGAGGCATATGGTTAAGCACATTGATTTACTTACCCAATAATTTTTTATTGTGCATCTGCTATACACCAGGCATTGTACTAAGTGGGGATATAGTAGTGACTCAAACCTAGCTTTAACAGAACTGACATGATATTGGGAAATCAATCAATAATCAGATAAATTTTCATTTACATATGTATCAAGCACCTATTCAGGCAATTCCTGCATTACAAACAATTTCTATTCCTAAATTTGCCTTTAAGTCAAATTTGTACTTAAGTCTAAACAGGTACAATTCCTATTAACAAGGTCTCTGCTCTCCTGGGACTCAGATTCCAGTAAGAAAGAGAGAATGAAGTGAGTCAAACAAGATAATTTCAGATCGTAATAAGTACCATGTGGAAAATAAAACAAGCTATGAGATAGGGAATGATTTGGAGGAAAGACATTCTGCTTCAGATAGGATAGTCAAGGAAAGCCACTCAGAGAAAATGACATGTGAGCTCAGACCTGAGTAACAGGAAGTCAACTAACAAAAAAGGCAGAAGGAATAAAAAGTGCAAAAATCTTTCAATGGTGGCAGAAGCCTGTCAGCAATGCTTTCTGAACTCTACTGGACAGGGTACAGGTCTGGGGGTTGGGATGCAGGCTCCACATATGATATATGTATCTTTTAAGATTATACAGTCTAATGAAAAAAGATGTAATAAACAATAACAAGGTGGTGGGAGGTGGGGTGGGGATCTTAAGTACTATCTAGAGATATGACCATTTGTGAGAACAAAGAAGGAGCCATAATTAATTTAAATATGTTTATTTAGTGGCTATGTCAGAAAAAGCTTCACCAAAAGTGGCATTTGACCCATTGTGTTGCCCACCCTACTCACCCTAGAAAATCTTAGTGCTCCTGGAATTTAGGTAAGAGGAACTGAAGTTTCTGGGAATGGCAAGGCTGTCAGGGGGCTGGACCCTGGGCAGTCAGATTTGCAAACAAGGAACTACTAAGGATGAGAAGCAGCCAGCTTCTGCCTTGAAAATGTGTGCTTTGGTCATGCCTCTTACAGGATACAGTACATGATCTGGACTGGCCACCACAGCACAAAGCTACCCTGAATTCCTTCCTTCATACTCCACCTTCACTTAAGGGTTGTTTAATTTTATTTTATTACACTCATCCACTGTAGTTAAGTGACCCTATGGACCAATAAAACTGCTCCATAGGTTTTCTTTCTTTCTTTTTAAAAAAAATCATTTTCTTGGGGGCTCGTACGACTCATCACAATCTATACATACATCCATTGTGTCAAGCACATTTGTACATATGTTGCCATCATCATTCCCAAAACATTTTCTTTCTACTTGAGCCCTTAGTATCAGCTCATTTTTCCTCTCCCTCTCCGCTCCCCCCTTCCTCATGAACCCTTGATAATTTATAAATTATTATTATTTTGTCAAATCTTACACTGTCTGACATCTCCCTTCACCGGCTTTTCTGTTGTCCATCCCCCAGGGAGGAGGTTATATGTAGATCCTTGTAATCGGTTCTTCCTTTCCACCCCACCCTCCCTCCATGCTCCATAGGTTTTCTGAGACTGGAAATCTCTATGGGAGCATCCTCATCTTGTTCCCACAGCCTGGTTGGTGAGTTTGAACTGCTGACCTTTATGTTCACAACTTAGTGCTTAACCCACTATACCACCAGGGCTTATCCTTTTATTATGCAAGCAATAGCAAACACATTTGTATTGCAAATATTCAAGCAGTTAAAAGTAAAGTTCAACTCAATCACTGCTTACCTCCTTAGAGAGAACCTTAGCAGGATCTTTCCAATTCGTTTCTCTGTGTATATGTACATAGAACTGTTGAGATTAAAAATGATGAGAGATAGAGTGTAAAATACATGAGATTAAAAAGAATGAAGGGAAAAGGGCAGGGGGGGTGGAATTATATGCGAAAGGACAGGCTTGCTCCAAAACAGACTTGAATATATAATGACAGTGGGAATTAAAAGACATAATGATGATAAATAACATCTAAGAACGTACTATGTGCCAAATACCATCCTAAACTCTACATCCATTAATTCACTTAATCCTTACAGCAAACCTATGATGGAAGTACTAGTACTATTCCTATTTTATGGTTTATGGATAAGGAAACTGAGTGTGGAAACTTTAAATTACTTTCTCAAGTCATATAACTGGTAAACATGCAAACTGCAGTTCTTTGAGGACA